TTTTTTTTTGTGAACAAATTTAAGTCAAAAATCATAATTTTCTAGCAAATGTCGGCAAATTATGCATAAAATTAGCGTTAATTAGAGTAAACGACACATTTGGTGTGTACGCTGCGACTTTAGGCGCGCGCCAGCTTGATAGTAATCTGCAAAACTCAAATATTCACAGATTATCATTAATATTTTTCTCTAGTATTTTGATTTTTAAAAATATCTAGCTGTCGCGTCGGGGTCGTGCTCGAAATTATTGGAAAAGTTTGCTTGCGCACGTGACTGTATTCCATGAAGTTTGCTTTATCAAATTAATAAATGGCTATATGCGATGCGCGTTTGACTGCCTACTTGCATGTGTGCTTCAGGCAACAGAAGTAGTTGCACATGATCTTTCCCCCTTGTTTTGAAAAGTAGCCATAGCCGCACTAACTGGCAAAGAGATGTAGCTTTAGTTTGCTTTTTTTAGTAAATGTTTCCATCAAATAATGATTCCTCACGTTTTGTGGCACGCTGCCTTGGGGCAAATCTAGGTGTGTCAGAGGTGACCCACAATAACCCCGCCTTCTCTGTCTCTGTCTGTCTGTCTCTCTCTCTCCCCCCCCCTCGCATCTCACACACGCACATGCACACACACACACACACACCACTCAGCCAAGTTACTTGTTAGCCTCGAACTCCACAAACATTCCGAGATAAAACTATTATGTGCGAGATGACCGTTTCACAATCAATATTGTACGTAACTGCTGAATATCGTATGGACCTCTTTCAAGAATCATTTATTCTTTTTGCAAAAGTACCTTTTGCCTCTTTTCTGCCCATATCTCTGATAGTTCAGTAGACGCACAAGTACAGGTCTACTTCTATTAACAACTAGCATTAGCTACGAATTGAATGCCATGTTCTCTGTTCTCTAAAAACTTCTATAAGAAGTACAATTTGACTTCTTAGCGTTACAATTTGATTTCTCATTTTTACAAGTAGAATTCATTTTTATTTTATGAATTGTGATTTCGTGTTGTTACTATATTTATAGTTAAAATAGCTTACTCCTCGGGTGTAAAACTGTCCAAAAAAGAATACACATGATTGTGTCTTGACAATTATTGTTTCAGATTTGTGCGTCGTTATTTCAAAATGTATATGATTGTTTCGATTGTGTGTAATTCTTCATGTCGGTTCTTTGTGATAGTCCATGATGTGTGTTAATCCATAATTTTAATTTGAAGTAACGTACGTCGAATTTGGTCGCGGTAGATTTTAACGAGCTAGCTATAGTCTGAAACATAGCGTAGACACTGTTTTACTTTTGAAAAAATCAATACTCACTCACCCCGTCGCAACCTTGCACGCTGTCACTATCGGCTTGGCACTCAATTTGCATAACGTATTGCTTAAAGATTACAGGTCCTGGCGCCTGTTACAGACGCGTGTCTCGCCGACAACGCTGGTTGACAAGTTTAACGATTCCTTTGCTGGATTGCATTGTTCGCAGCAGTTCCATACAATGCTTTACGAGGATCCGTTTCTCCGATCGGAAAAGGCGGCGATGACGCAACGCTGAGCGTGCCTTCTTAGTGCAGGGAATCCCGACAGAGAGCTATAGAAGCGCTGCTCCGATTTCCCTTTAGCTCTTAAAGAACAAGAAAAATTGGGATTTTGATAGCAAAGTTTGCTCATAAACAAGCACATAAAGTACATGCAAAGTTGTGTAACACGTGAAGCAGTGTTTCATTGATTGATGTTGCCCAGGTGCGGTCTGGGGGTCTGAGGCCAGGCCAGACTTTGCCTATCTAGAGCAAATTGCCTAAATATACAGGTCAGAGGTCGAAAAAGGCCCAAAATGATATTCCTTAAGGAGAGACCGGGTGGGATATCCCTATCTCCTGCCCTAGCCAGTCTGTAATTGATGTTGCTTCAAATTTACTTAGTTCAAAATATCTTTGCCCTCTCCTGTTCCTCCTTATCCCATCCAGAAATGCGTCGACTTTTATTTACATCGCCGTTGAATCAGTATTGATCCATTATAAGGTCCGAAATTCAACGAAACTCCGACTTACACTTTAAATTCCCCAACGTTGAATCGCCTTTGAATTTCTGGCTGGGGATCTGACTCATCCAACCGCACAGGCTGACTGTCGGTCGTTAAAACTCGCCCAGTGAGTCGATGGTGGACGTGTGCCACTTCACATATAGTTCAGCAGCGAGGCGGGAATGATGCACGTTGGGTATATTTATACAGCAGAAGGCGGGGGAGTAGGAGGAGGATAACTCGCCGTATAAAAACTAAATTGGATTCCTGATTAAGACTCTGATAAGGCACCGCGAGATTCAACTCATACAGGCTGCTGGCATCCCCCCTCCCTACCCCACCACCGGCCCCCTTCCCCTCCCACCTGCTAGTGCCCCTCCTCTTCCCAATAACACACTCTAGTGTAATATCTACTTGCAACTTGCCTGGCTGTCCTTGCTTGCTGTGCAGGAGAAGAGGTGGTGTTACTGTAGCAAGGCGTGCCGCTTAAAATGAGCAACCACACCGTTGAGAATTTTGCACCTCGCTGTCGGTGTGTGATAGAGAATAAAAGGGGAAAAGGGGGGGGGGTACGATACCGGCTGATATCGCCGCCTCATCTCCCCCGCGGACCTGGCCCAGGCAGGCCCTCTCGCCCGCCGCCTCGCTCAGCCACGCCCCTCTACGGAGGGAAATGGGAATCGTCTCGGGGTCAAGTATTGGTCAGCGTGATGTTTGGACAG